ACTTGTTCCAATTCAATGGATCTAATTTTATGTTCATTACTACTCCAAATACTCTCTTATACAGAGATTAAATGAGTTCTCCATACAGGAGGTAATAAACCAAACCAAACAAATATTTGGGGAACAAGGAATCCTAAACAGGGTGATCAGTGAAAACAGCCCCCATTTCAGCTCAGCACTATTTAAGAAATTTGCAAAAGAATACAGATTTGACCATCACAAATCATCTCCAAAATATCCACAATCAAATGGCTTCACAGAATGTTGTGTTTAGTCAATGAAATCTGCCATCAAGAAGGCTACATCAAACAGCCTTGACATTGACATGGTATTATTATGCCTGCGAGCAACCCCAATAGACCATACAATTCTGTCACCAGGGGAACTCCTGTTCAACAGAAACCTGGTTATCAACATTCCAGTAAAATGTGCCAACCACTTCACACAAAAAGAGGGAATATTAGCCCAATTGTACCAGAGACAAGCTGGACAGAAAATATATTATGACCAGCACACAATAGATCTCCCCAATCTTCAGATTTGGACAGCATGTTAGAGTGCTCAACAAGGATGCAGGCATATGGACTACTGCAGTTGTCCTGCAAGCGTGCACTGAACCATGATCATACATTGTACAGGCTCCATCTGGACAAATCTTCTACAGGAACTGCCAGCACCTGAGGGAAGACTCATCCCAAACCAAAATGAGTCATAAGATATATCCACCTGAAATCCCTCAAAGATCAACTTTTGATCCTACACCAAGAGTGGATATCAACTCCCCACCAGATGACCCAAGCCAAAATGCCCCACATGAAATGCATGACACAAATCTACACTCTGACATTACAACACACATAAGAACCAGATCTGACTGCATAATAAGGCCACCAACAAGAGTCAGTGAATTTGAACATTTATTCATTTTTTTTTATTTTCCTTGTTTCTTTTTCTCAATTATTTATAAAAAGGGGCATGTAATATTATGATTCCGATTATCTCTCCTAGCTTAGCTTCCTTCTCTATAATTAGGAACTTGTGGTGAAGGAAATATTGAGCTTGGTCAGTACCTAGATAGGTGAGTGCTTGGGAATACTTCGGTACTGACTAGGCTTGACATTGCTTAACTTCAGTGATCATACACAATCTGGTGGAAGATTACATGTTGTTATAGTCAAATAACTATGGCAAACACTTCACTATCTTCACAAATTGTGGGTCAGACTAAAAGTAAAACAGAATAGGAAGCAATGAAATGACATCTGGCACTTGCTGCAAGAAGGCTCCCTCTCCTTTGAGTCCATAAACTTCCCCCCACTGATAGCACTAACATTACTTGTAGTTTCTTCCAAGGAGCAATGCCCAGAAGTTTGGTACGACTCTGATATCAATACCGAATCAGTTCAACAAAAAAAGTGAGAGCAACAAAGACACTGACAGAGGTGACTCACTTTCAGACTCTGAATGTCCTACTTCAAGTAAGAGACAGTAAAAAGTTACCCCCCCCCTTCGCCCTGCAGGACCCAAATTCTCTGACCGGGAACCACTGCAATATTCGGAATTGCAAAAAGTTCACTCTTTGAGATGACTATGTCAACTTTGAATAAAATTGATTAGTGGAAATGTGGTAAAGTAAACTATAGTTGTCTCCCCCTTGAATCACTCCAAACAAATGGTTGACTTGAAACTCATATATGGGCAGTAGTTGAATTGCAGTGAATAAAGCTTCATTATAAGCTCAAAGCTTCGTCTATTTTTTTTTTTTTCTTTTTACATAACTAAATCAATTTGTGGTTTTACGGAAAGCAAAATTATTCTGCTTGGATTTGAAAGTTCACTGCAAATCAGTGTAATTTCTCATTATCAGATTGTTTGCTCGTCTCCAAGCATATCCATGACTCAGGCCCATTTTCAATACCCAGAGCCAACCTGTGAATTATCTGTAACTATAACCATGACTAGAAAGACCAGTCTGTTTATTCTGTTTAAAACAGAGACTATTTGATCCCCACTTTGAGCTACTTCATTCGCTTACACCTTGAAACCCTCTTTTTCTCAAAATAAACTACATTGGAAAAATATGCATTTTATTTTTTGTTCACCAAAATATTACCTAACCCTGCCTAAAGGTTGGAGGGTTATGCACTAGAATTGTCAAATTAAATGAAAGAGCCAATAAATCAAACAAAATTAAGTATTAAAATAGCAGATTAAGCAAAAAAAAAAAAAAAAAAAATTTTTTTTAATTTAGATATTAATATATATGGTTATTTGATTATTTTCATATATTTTTCATAAAATACACATTTTATTGTGTAACCTAATTATGTACGATAATTGGCATATTTATGCAATTACAAAAAAAAAATAAAAATTATTTTCAAAATACTGATCAGAGGAAGCGCTAAATTGTAATAAGCTTTTCCATTTATGACTAGTAAATATAGTTTTTACTTAATAATAACAATATCACCTACCAGATATAAATTAATGCAGAATTTAAAAATTTTTTAAACTTTATAAATTATTCTAATTAAAATTTAAAAACAAAAACAGTTCTTGTAAAAATTCATTATTTACCAAAAAAACATTTTTTTCTCAAGACAACAGTGTCCATATTCTTATGAATAAGAAATTAAAAGCTTCTCAAATTATGTCTTAGTTTTATTTAAGTACCTTCACTGATTGGCTAAAAAATGAGCATACCATGACAAAACCCAAACTTAATAAAAACAAAGTTTTATCATTAAAATCTTCGTTAGGAAATACCAAAAGGTTTTTTGATTATTAAATTCTTTTTATCCTCTTTAAAATGTTCGAAATTTTGGTGGATTTCTTTTTGCAAACTAAACAGGGCCCCCAGTTACCGAAAATCTCCTGAATCATAAAATAAATATGCAATAATTATTATTTAATTAGAAAAGCTTTTAATTCCTTTTATGAATAAGATAGATTATGGACACTATTGTCTTAAGAAAAGAAAAAAAACTTTTCGATGAATAATGAATTTCTACAAGAATTGTTTTCATTTTTTATTTTAATTTTAATAATTTATAAAGTTCTAACTAAATCTTTTAAAATTCTGTTTTACTTTACTAAATTAAGTGATATTGTTACTAAAAACCATATTTACTCATCATAAATGGGAAAGCTTATTACAATTTAGCGAACCCCAATATTTTAAAATGAATTTAATTTGAATAATATTTTTTATGTGTATAAAGTGCATAAACGTGCGATTTTTGTAAATACAGACGTACACGACATTATCAGAAAATAAGAGCGATAACTATAGTAAATTTAGAGCCTAACATTCAATAAAACATTAGATTACACAGAATATTTTCCTTAATTTTAAAGATTGCAGGATAGTTAAAAGAAAACTTTTTAACTTTTTACGGATATATCCACCATAAGCTTCCGTTTGTCAGTCAAGCTGTCAACTCAATACCTTTAAGGCTTAAACTAAACAGGTACAATCCTGTTAAAAATACATTTTTGCGATATTTTAAACTTAAAGTAAATATTTGTTTCAAATCAGATAAATTATATTTTAAAGCAGCTAATATTCTTCAAATAAAATTTATGAAAAGTATATTTTATTTTTGAAAGATTTTTTAATAAAAAGAATTATATCGTGATGACGAATGACTAAAAATGGCGCTAAAGTCAGTTTTCAAAACGAAAACTCTTTCCAGTCAAATTAATTTTGAAATACAATTATTACTGCTTATTGGAAATATTATTAGCTGAAAATTAAAACTAAAATAAAAGCTTTAAGTAAGATTTTTCATTTTTAAAAATTCATTTTAACTTTATTGCGCTTCTGTGGAGATTCTGCGGACGTACAACAAATATTTGGTGTCCGTCCGCATTTACAAAAATCGATGAATTGTAGCAAGCTTTGACATGATTTATGATAAGTAAGTATAGTTTTTAAATTAATAACAATATCACGTAATCGGTACATATTAATACTGAATTTTAAAAGATTTAAAAAATTGAAAATTATTTCAAATGAAAACAATAAGCGAGGGTTTAACTTAAAAACAGATGTAAATAAAAACATATTTTCTAAAATCCTATGTCTTTTTCTATCGAAAAAAGAAAAGACGCTAAAATTTGCTATACCACTTTGGTCCCATTCCCACTTGCTGACCAAGGTAAATTTAGTTAATAATAACAAGTCTCAGAATTTGAAAAACAAAAATAAGTAAAATTTAAAAAAGGTCGCACCTATCTAAACCAGAAAAACAAACACCCAAGAAGCAATATTCTTTAAAAAAATCGTTTGTTTAAGGGCTATAGCACAAATACAAATTTATTTCTTTATTTAATTTTTTTAATAAGATTGTACTTTACTCTGCCTGGGCGGGTAGTGGGTTAACCTACTGCCCACTATATTACAGCGGGCTATTTCAGTGGTTCGTGCAACTAAATTCATTTTTTCTCTCTCAGTTTTTGGAAATATTACGTGCGAGAGAAAAGAATTTCTACACGTTCAGTCGAATGGAATGTGACACTAGCTCGAGTTTAAAGTTGCAGCTCACGCGTACATGAACAAAAATTTCACAAAAAAAAACAAAAAAAAAAACCTCGACACTTATGGGGACACCTTAGGTGTCCCCATAAGTGTCGAGTTTGTTTTTGTTGAGGTTCAACAGAATAAATCTCATCCCGAAGGAATGGTATTGTTTCGGGGGATTGTCCCGTGGAGTTCGAGCATTATTATATTCAGTTTCAATCCCTGGCCTGGTAAATCGAATTTTAGTAGATTACAATAATAAATATTCAATTCAATAATTCAATACCTTCTTTTTTGTTTTGTTTGAATTATGGTCCTATTTTCAAATTGAATAAATAAAAAAATGACTGACAATTTCGTTTTTTTTTTTTTTGTTTTTTTTTAAACTATCAATAAACTCTAAAAATCAGATTTTAAACCAATTTAAAAAATGAATGGAATGGAATGAATGGTAAAATGCAAAATGTTAACTTACAAATTGATGATTTGAAGAAAAATGCGTTTAGTGTTGGATAATGAAGTAGCATCGGGAGTAGAAAAATAAGCAATTTCATCATGAACCGGGATTTTTGAAATTTCTGAAATAGAAAATATTGAAGAAGAAACAACAGCGTAAAAAAGCGTTTAAAATCATCAGTTTTTCACTTGTTTACGTTTAAAAAAAAAACAAAAACATTGGAATGTTTGAATAAAACAATTATTTTCGGTTATTATTTGTATTTTGTAATTTTGATGATTGTTCTGGTCGCGAACAGAATTATTGTAAAAAAGAAAAGAGCAAGGGTGGTTTAATAAACAAATGTTAAAATAAAAACAGAACACAAACACTTCTACTCGACTATTTGAAATTCATAACATTTTCTTTTCTCTTTTTCACAGATGATGATATCGACTGATTTGGTTATTCAATTGAGAAGTGAAGAAATTTTCGTATGAAAATGCATTTTTCTTGTAGTTTGCGCTGTTTTGTCCAAAGCGAAAATCTTTCGGAAATTTTTCATTTGTGAGTAAAATTTAAGTTTTTAATGTGTGATCGAGTGAGAATGCCAAATTGGATCCTGATTTGTTGTCCGGATTTATAATCACCTGTGTTCAATTTGAATGTATGAATTGAACGTAAAAAAAAACTGAACCCTTTTTGTGTCTCTTTACTTAGATGACGAAGAAAGTATAGATAGGAAAACACGAACACTAACAGTATTGAATACAAAAAACTTGGCATTTATTTTGCTGTTTGAAATTTCGAATTGTTTCTTAAAATCATAGCTTTTGGCCTTTGCTTTGATATATCAAGATTACTGTTCAAAGAACTTCTATGGTATCATGAAAAAGTTTTACAAAGACTCTTGCTTTCTGACGCTGTGTGTACCCATGATACATGTGGTTTGAATTGCTACTTTTCTTCTTTCAGAAAATCATTTCTTTTCTCTCTCAACGAAGGACTCCAAATTATTTTAAAGTACTGACTATGGATAAACGAAAAAAACCGTGAACACATAACACCGTCACAACTCAGTGTACAGTTTCTGAAAAAATTCTTACACCGGCAATCAGTGAAAAAAAACGGATGAATACTGTCAACTTTTCCTATTGATGAAATCTGTGTGTGCCGACAGAGCTATATTTCTATGTTGCAGTAATTTGAAACAAACATAAAAGTAAAAACTTACAGACTGGAAGTGTAGTCAGGGTTAAAGAAATTAAAGGGGACTATTCATTTTTATATCGTTGTCTCCAATATTTTTAAAGTATACTTTCATGCTGCTTCTTAGAAGACATTTTTTTTTAATCGGCTTTTTCACAGAAAAATAAGGATTTATTACTCAGAAGGTATTTTCCAGTTTAAGTTAAAATCACCTGATTTGTTAATGTATTTTTTCTAGAATTCAAAGAAATTAATTACGGTATTTCACGAAATGCGCTAAGACTAAGAAGAGAAATATGAATTTAAAAAAAAAATCTTTCGATACTCCTCTGCTCATGCTTTTTTTTAATTTTATCACATGGCTATTCTTTTGCCAAATGTTACAGCTAAAACTAAACAGAATTAGTCACTAGTGGATTTCATTTAAAGTCACTGCGATCAAAAATGATCACCTTCTTTTTATTGATTTGTCTTATTTTTTTATAAAACATTCCAGATGACGCATATTAAAAAAAACCGATAAGCGTTAAAAGGGGAAAATCAACACATATTAATTAATTCGTTACACGTGATTTCTTTAGTTTAAAAAATTTTTAAAAAAAATTGAAATTCGTAATCTGATTTTTATTTTATTTTCATACTACCAATTAAGCACTCCGGGTTAATACAATTATTATTTTTTCTTTTTTTTATTACTCTTTATCACATCGTATATTTATTTTCGCTTCCGTGTTCGGGAGTGGATTTATTTTACATTTTTTTTTGTACATAATGAATTATCTCCAGTCCAAAAGCCATGCGCAAATTCGACACCCCAGTTTTAAAATGTTTTACTAAAGATCAGGTAATTATCGGATTATATTAAAATTTTCTGAATTTATTCACTAATGAATGAACTTCATATTGAATCTTGTTTTTATTTTTAAGTTTTTTTGTGGAAGTATTTTTCCGGATCAGTTATGCTACCCCTTCCTACATACACACACTTTACTTTTTAAACTCATGGCTTGTCCGTACTAGTGAATTTTGGATGTTCCTAATAAAGTTCAAGTCCCCCAAGGTGTTGAAGAAAAATAATAATAATATCGTGTGCGAACACATCGAAAATATGTCCGAGATTTTAAACGTATTCAAGAAAACTCAAAAGAATAAAGAAACTTATTCTTTGGGGAGAGTTTTTTTGCTGCATAATTTTAAATGAAAGTGCACCATTTCTGATTTTAGTTTTTTACTAAAATTTCTAAGACGGGTTTTTTTCACGTGGCGAAAGTGCGCATTATTTAATTTCTTATTAAATTTATTTTTTAAAATTATTTGTCATTTTTCAATGCTATTTGGAAATCCATCCTGATGCTGTTCATAGATTTTTTTTAAATTAAATAAAGAGATGCTTGAAGAATCTAAAAAATGTTTTGGTGCCATTTTCGAGTTTGGACATCTTTTAAATATTCTTTTTCATTTTTACATCTGTTAGATATTTTTTAATTTATTTAAATATTTTATGACTTCAAACAGTTAAGAAAATAATCAATAAATAAAAATAATTAAACTCCAAGTCCTTCTTAAGGTAGGTTCCTGAATGTTGTTAATGTGCATTCATCGGAAGTCCATCAGATCAATACCAGTATTACCCAGCATTTTCTCCTGGTCCTATCCTCTTTCTGCTCTATATTGATGATCTGCCTAACAGTATACTCTGATCTTTAGTGAATATCTATGCAGATGATACAACAGTTTATATGTGCACCACCAAAAATCTGGAAGACCAGTACATATCAGCTGATCTTGCCTCTGGCCTAGAACAGGTGGCTCAATGAGTGAAGGACTGACTTGTAAAATTCATTATGTCCAAAACCAAACTAGTAATGTTTCACCATCACTGAACAGACCCTGAACTTTCACCTATCATGATGTTTGGGTGTTCTCTCAAGGTGGCTCCTTCTCTTGAATATCTATTGAGACTCAATCTATGAAACTCATATATACGATTTATTACTAAAGGTGCTGGCAAAATATTTGGTTCATTGTACCACTCCAATAAGTATTTGGCATCCCTACTATACTTTTCTTTACAAGATCCAGGTCAGACCAAAATGAAGTATTGCTACCATATTTGAGCTGGAGCTGCCCAGTCCTCACTTGCCTGTTTTGACCAATACCATTTCAGATTCTTTGAATTATATCAAGAATCTCTAAATGCATAGTGAAAGCACCAAACCAGATGTGACAGCAATATTCAATGCATGGACAAATGGCAGACTTATAAATGTGTAAGATAGATTCTGGCAAGAAAAATTGTCTAGCACAACACAGTGAACCAACTTTCCCAGCAGTAGACCTAGCAATTAATTCAATATGATCTTTCCAATTCATGTCAGTGGAAAATGTTAGCCTAAGAAGGTGTAATGTGTCACTATCCTGGAAGTTAGCCTTGACCATGTTGACAGAAGGCAAAAACAATGTTCTCTAAGATGATTAAAAGAGAGTAGTTTTGTTTTGGCGGCATTAAAATTAACAAACCATTTCTTGACCCCATTAACAGATTTTAGATCAGCTGCCAATTTGGCCTTATCAAACCAACCAGACAGGAATAAATACTTGTGTCATCAGCATAGATACTGAGTTGAGAATTAATGTCAAGGTTGTTGATGAAAATTAAGAAAAACATAGTTCCATGGATAGAGAGCACTGGCAGGATACCTACATTAATGCAAAAAGATCCAGAAGAGTGGCCATTCAAGATAACTTTCATTTTGCAGTTTGATAAGAAAGATTGAATTAGATCAATCACTCCATCAAGAAATAAAATATCATAAACTTTCAACTTATGAAAAGCTCAGCATGCCAAACCATGTCAGAGGCCTTCAAGATATTTAAAGCAGCAGTAAGAGCTTCACCATTCTTATCCAAAGCTTGACAGACTCAGTAATAACCAGCTGTTGAACTAAAGAAGTAAAAGCTTTAATGCTTGTCTGAAAGAAGACCCTGTGAAGTGATATGCTTAACTAATTTAGATTTGATTAGAGTCTTTGTACTTTGCCAAAAAAAAAAGGTAGAAGTTTCATAGGCCGATAGTTAGGAATAGACAGTTCACTTAAGTTCTCAAAGACTGGAAGAAACTACAGGATAAGCAGGAAAGCAAGAAGCAACAAAGCATTCATTGTAGAGTTTAGAGAGAACAGTAACACATTTCTTATGGACTATTGCAGAGATACTATTAAGTTCACATTCCTTGTGGCCATCCAGTTTAGAGATGATAGTAGTAACCATGGATAAAGTTATATGCATATCACAGTAGAGACTTGGGTCTAAGTTCACACACCTCCCTGGTCTTTTGAACAAGGTTTATTCCTTGTTTTGGGTTTTTGTTCCTTCTAAAGTTTATTTCACCTCTATACTTCTAAAGTCTCCACCTAAAACTCTGAACTTTTATTTACTATTTGTTTTCATGAAATAAATTCCAATCTGTACATTGGTAACAGAAAGAAGATTTGTGAATAGGAGTTTCATGTCTAATAGATGACTGAAAAGAAATATCAACCGATACTACAGTATAATACAAATGGCCAAGAGGACAGAGTTGCAATGCTTGACAAAAGCCGGGAGTGGATGTAAGGAACAAATAAAGAAGCATGTTGATCAGAATTATTAGGGAAATACACTATTTGATTGAGAAACTGAGCAATAGAAACATTGAAAGTCATAATACTGACATTATTATTCACATTAAGATAAGTAAGGCAATTGACATTAAAACCACCAAACACAAATATGTTCACAGATGAATGTAAAAAGGGAGGGAGAGGGAGACATTTCTATACTGCCAGCAATTGTGTCTAATGTGTTTCAGTCCTGAGAAGAGGAGTGATAAAGGAAAAAAGATAGCTAAAATGAAAGAATTATCTGAGACAA